GTTGGCTTGGACATAGTTGCCCCGAGGATCCCGTAGAATGGAAACGGCAGTTTTTAGGTAAAACTCCTGGACACGATCCTGTAAGGGGGAAACACCAAGTTCGGTATATAGAGAAGTAGAGCGTGTCCACTGAGGAGCCCCAAGGATGATACGAGCAGCTTTCCTCTGGATAACTTCGAGACGGTTGACAGCAGTCCGACTAATGTTGACGAGGGCAGGGGCGGCGTAGTCGACACAAGAACGGACAAAGGACTTGTACATGGTGAGACGTACAGGGGTGGTGGCACCAAGGGAACCCCTGCACATGGTAGAGAGGGGAGCGAGAGGCCGAAAGCATATGTCTCGAAGATAGCGGACTTCAGGGATTTGACAACGTGTGCGAGTTACATACACACCCAGGTATTTTGTCTCATTAACCCAGTCCAAGGGCGTTCCTGATAAGAGAAGGGGTGGAGGTACAACACGACCGAGCCACATGGCTTTTGTTTTCGCAGTTGAAAGAAGGAAACCAAGTAAATCACACTCTCTGGAGACCAGATCAAGGGCTTCCTGCATGCTGAGGTAGTCAGGGGCTTGGAGGAGGACATCGTCGGCATATCCTGAGTGGACAACTTCTGTCGGCCACGGGAGAGATGCAATGGAGTGCATGAGAGTGTTAAACAAGGTGGGACTCAGGACTCCGCCTTGAGGGGTGCCGAGGTTCATTTCTTGAACAGGAGGTATAGAGCCTTCAACGCGAACCCGGGCTTGACGTCCAGTGAGGTAAGAGGCGATCCATTGAAGAAGTCTCTCTTTAACCCCTAACCGCGCAAGTTCAGCTAAAATGAGGGCAGGCTGAGCCGTATCAAAGGCTCCCTTGATATCAAGGAAGACGGAGACGCGGGCAGTCTGATTGCAATAAAGGGAAGCAATAGAGTGTGCTGTGCTGCGATGTTGTATGAAACCATTGAGGGAGTTGTGGAAGCCGCCTATGGTGTGAAGAAGGCGACGATGGAGTACCCTCTCCATCATCTTGCAAACACAGGAGGTAAGACTAATGGGTCGATATTTCCCAGGATCTCCCGGCTTAGGGATGGGGATAATAGTGGCATTTTTCCAGTTAGACGGGAGAACCCCATGTTCATAAGACATATTGTAGAGAGCAAGCAAGGGGCCGTTAGGAATATTAGTACAGGCGTTGAGGACGGAGTAGGTTATCTGATCATCCCCAGGAGAGGTGTCTTTTCTAGAGCGACGAGCACTGTCAAGCTCGAACTGTGTGATGGGATGATCAGTGGGGGCAGGGGAGGTAAGAGCAGCACGAACAACAGGCTCAGACGCATCGATGCGAGCCTGCACTGCCTCCTGCATTGGATCTGGAAGTGCCTCAGGGGAGGAAGCTCGTGCCCAGTCCTCCATTAAAGAGCAGGCAAGGGAGGCGGGGTCAGGGTGGGGAGGAGGCCTCCGTCGAGTACCCCGTATAGCATTAATCCGATTCCATACATAAGAGGGTGACGACTGGAACGATAGAGACCCCGTGAAGGATAGCCAGTCCGCCTCACGAATCCGACGACGCTCCTGAGTTGCAAAGGAGCACCAATTTTTGAAGTCTTCCCAGTCCTCTGGAGAGCGAGACCTCCGTATGGCAGAGTGGAGATCACGGGTTACCTGCCGGAGATGTCTCATGGCAGGGATACGATACCAGTAGTTGGTGGCACTTCTGGGGTGACGGGGAGGGCGTGGAGGGGTAGCACGATTGACAGAGTCATACACGGCATCAACAAAATCAGCGCTGTAAGAGTCAAGGGACTGGGGGACAACATAGGAATCCGCCCAGGTAGAAAGGTATTGGGTAAAGGAAGGAACAGCATCTTGTGTGAGACGAAGGCGAGGGGATCGATAAGGAGCTGATGTCGGGGCAGAGAAGGAGAGCCTGAGATGGGTAGTAACGGCAAGATGGTCACTATACAGAGCAGGCTCGGTGCAGACGGTAGGATGAAAGGAGGTATGACCGTTCAATAGTCGGTGCAGACGGTAGGATGAAAGGAGGTATGACCGTTCAATAGTAAGCCAACATCAAGGAAACTATGGGGGAGGCGAGTAGGATCGTCAGGACAAAGAAAACGAACATCATCATCCCCATTAAGAAACTGTGAGAGATGTGATCCGTTAAGGGTACATGGCGTGGGATGATCCGGAGTAAGAGTGGGATGGCGGGCATTAAAGTCGCCAAGAACAATAGTGGGAATCCCATCATGGAGGTCGTGAAGAACCTGGGGGTCCAGAGAATCACTCTTGAAATGAACATTGACTACACGAAGGGTCCGGTCACCAAGAGTAAGGGAGACAGAAAGTAATTCAGACGGGGGTCCATGTGAGTCAGGTGAAGGGAGACGAACAGATGGAATGGTGTTACGCACAAGGGTGAGGAGGCCACGAGCCTGCCCACGGTACCGAGGCAGGGTGTAAACAGTATAGCCAGAGAGGCGGAGTGGAGTAACATCGTCTGTGATGGTTTCCTGAAGCAGAGCAACATTTACTTGATGGGAGAGCACAAACTGGGCGAGGTCTGTCCGGCGAGGTCTAAGTCCCTGGATGTTCCATTGTAAGAAGAGGAGGGAACGGCCTCCGGTGTGAGATGAGTCGGTGGGGCTAGACAGGGCTCCAGAGGAGGTACCAAATTCTGTTGAGAAAAATGGAAAGGGGGGAGTGGGAGAGCGAGGGATGGATCCTCCATCTCGGGAGAAGGAAGGAGGCGGGTCATCAGGGCTTGCAAAGTGCGCCCCTGTTGGGTCAGGGTGTCCTGAATGAGTTGTTGTTGCCTCTGCAATGTCGCAATTGTTTTCACAAACAAGTCGAGTTGGGCAGAGAGAAGGTTGATTTGCTTGGAGTGGCGATCCAGACGGAGAGTGATTGTTTCCATAGAACCAACTTGGTGTACCTGTACAGGAGCTGGAGGTGGCGGCGAGGATTGCTGAGGGCCCGACTGGGCAGGTGGTGGTGGTAGCGACGGAGAGGGACGGTGAGGGTTCAGTTGAGTAAGAGGTGGTGGTGCTGGTGAGAGACAGCGGGAGTCCGGGTGGGCAGGAGGTGGTGGTGACTGTGTGGCAGGGCCGGCAACGATCTTGTTCCAAGAACGGTAGGGAGAGGGAGGGACGGGAGAAAGGATGGGTGGTAGGGGTGATAGGGGGGATGGTAGAGGAGAGGAGATCAATGGGAAATCCTTGGTGGATGGAAGAGGCGGTGGTGGATAGGAGTGAGGTTTGGTTGACAAGGGCTTCGTCAGAGACGAGGGCGGTGGTACAAGGTAAGTTTTCCCCAGGCGAGTGCCAGGACGCTGTGGGCAATTGGCATTCCAGGCGTGGTGACTGCCATGGCAATTGACACACCGTGGATTAACTGGGATTTTGTTCTGAATTTTCGATTTGCATTCCACTGTGTCGTGAGGACCTGCACAGAAACCGCAGGCGACCATCCTCGTGCACTCCCAGGTGCGTTGTTTCCACGATTGGCAACGACCACAGATTTTCGGAGTTCCGATAAATCGGTCGAGAGGACAGTTGTGAATTGGTCCTACATTCACCTTCGGAGGGAGGGGGCCTACCCACCAGCCGATGAGTTCGTTGGATGGACGTTTGGAGACCGGATTGATGTGGCGTTCCATGTCCAGTAGTTGTGGCAGAAGAGGGCGAGGATCGTCGATAGGGATCTCCCAGGGTACGTGGCGAACCATTACCTTGGTACGGCGAGTGTCTGGGGTGATGGTGGTGAACTTCAGCATCACCTCCCCCTGGGGAGCAGGAAAGCCCACCTGAGTGAGCAGGCATACCGTCTCGTCCATTTGTGTGGTGACTATCACGGCTGTGGGACTTCGGCGGAGGCGAAGTGTTGAGTCCTGAAGTGGAGAGGAGTGACGGAAGAACCAGGTCGTCCGTGTGCTCAGAGGCAAGTCCCGAGGAAAGGCGAGACGACGAAGGCGCGACGGGGCAGGGAGACAAAGGGAATCCCCTATGTCCATCGTCGGCGGAGGGTCGGTCATTGAGCCACATGTAAGCTCACTTGGGGACCCCGATGACAGGAGGAGGAGGCCACCCTCTACAGCAGTATTTGTTTGATTGTGTTCTCCAGGACTGAGAAGACTTCATTTTCCAAAGATCATAAATTAAACTGTCAACGGATCGTATGCCGAACTTTCATCTTTACTGGAGATAAAGGAACTCATTCAATTGGTTGATTTAAGTTGAAGTAGAAAAATAACTCTGAAGATTGTACAATAATAAGGCCCAAAACGGTACAAAAGTAATGGCCAAACCGTATAAAATAACGCCCAAAACAGCATAAAAATTACACTGACATTACCTGCATAAGATAACTCGAAGCCAGAACCAGCACAGGGACAAAATTTTGCGGAGAATAATTTTGAATTTGGTCCCTTGGTAGTCGTGGCCACTGTCATAGCTTGTAAACATTCAAACGTCAACAAATCAGGGGTGAAAATATATATATTTAATGTTTACCAGACTTCTCAGATAAATTTTCATTTTATTTATTTATTTATTTTATTTTATTTTTTCAACATCACACATCCATGGCTCGTCAGCACTCAGCTCACTCACCTCTTGGACAACATCAAGATATTGTTCCAGAATATTTTCAGATTCAATCTTTTTTTTTAAGCTTTGTATTTATTTATTTATTATTATTATTATTATTATTATTATTATTATTATTATTATTATTATTATTATTATTATTATTATTATTATTATTATTATTATTATTATTATTATTATTATTATTATTATTATTATTATTATTATTATTATTATTATTATTATTATTACTATTATTATTATTATTTCGCCCCCAGGCCTGATGTGGGTCATTGACCTGTGCCCTAGTAGGCTAATCCAGTAAGAAAAGAAAAAAATGCTCATAATGTATCGCATAAAAATCTTACTGCATCTTAGATGAACTAAGATTTTCTTCAACAATTCACACGAAGGACATGTTACCGTCAGACAAGTGTAGAGTTGGAACGGGAGCGCAGTGAGGGGGCGGAAATTGTGCGGCTGGTGGAAGCGTCGACAGAGGCAGAGCTGGCGCAGGTGCGCGCCAGTCTCCACGCCCAGTTGGCCGAGGAGCACCAGAACGTCATCAAGTTGCGCAGCGAAAGGGCCGCCCTCAGGAAGAACTACGTCACGTGAGTACAAACCCTCGTCACATCGTCTAGTGGTGAGCCTTTTGCCACCTGGTAAAGTGTGTCTATAATGGGAAGTTGTATATAAAACACACAAACAACTCTTAACACTTGCAGTATGATGGCACCAATTAATACGGATCCCTGAGTAGACTCATAACATTTGACTTCATCTTCGACGAAAGTTCGAGTTGTCGATAGCTGATTGACCGATGCATTTATCGCCATTCTAGTTCTCCTTGGATACTTAGAGGAAAAAATAACAACTCCAAACTTTGATATTCTTCTTTTGCATTATCCAATCTACTGCATGGTGGGCTAGAATGGCACACTAGGTAAGGTCTTGCCTATGAATACCCAGACAACCTTAATTAACGGAATGGCCAATTGGCCATGGTGGGTTAACTTTGACCTAATCTAATCTAGTTTGTAAGCATTACTTTTATTATCGTGTTACTCAGTTTTTAATCTGGGTAGGGGTTCAATTTTCAGGTGAGTGCGAAAGCTCAGGGAAAGTGCAGGGGAGGTTCATGGACTGTGTAGACTGTTTGCTAGGTTCGTGCAAAATCAAGCGCTGCCAGAAAATATGTCTGAACAAAATGGATCCTGTGTAGGCTAATTTCAGATCAGTTACTCAGTTTTCAGCAATAGTGTCAACATCATGTGACAATGAGTTATTTTTATAATTATTTCAAATTATTCATAATAGGGGCTTTGAAGCTTGCTGAAAAGCCTATTTTTGGTGAGTGGGTGAAGCTAGTGCACTTGCTATATTAGACTTCAATATATCCTAGGAGGTGACAAGGTCAATATTAACATATCTATATCAGTGTAGGCTGCTACTAGCTTGTAAACTTGAGAGAATGGGTACCTATGCAGAATAGCTCCTTACTGCATGGCTTACCTGAGTTAGATTCAGTTGGTCATTACTTTCCAAAACCTACATCAGGAATAGCAGGGTGATGGAGCCGAAGGAAGGGCGGGATAAGTGCATGCACTAGCTTCGCTCACTCACCAAAATATTTTTTTTCAGCAACCTTCAAAGCCCTATTTTAGTGAGGTGAGCTTTGCTAGTGCACTTGCTATATTCCACAGGAAGGAGGGTGCTATGATGTAAGGGGGACCAGTAAGCATGTGAAGGACCATTTGAATTTATTTATCCTTAGAGTAAGCTACAATAATTTGTTTTTCTAGCACGCTGTCTGTGGGTCGAGGGGTGAGACCCATTGCCATGCAGGATGCGCCTGACACCTGGTGAGACAGGTATCTTGCTTTGAAACAGGAGGCCGATTTCCACTGACCCCCTTCCCTGACCTGTGAGAAGGAGTGGGTCCTCAAGAAGGCCAGTGGAGCCGCTACACCCAGTACATCGTAGGGACGTGGGGCCTTCCCAGGGTCAGCCTCCTCTATAACCTGTCTGCCAATCCTCTGACTGACAGCGGGCGGATCGACCGAGGATGAACAAAGAGATGATGCTGGCTGGTGGTGTGATAGGCCATAGCGGAGAGGTATTAACGAAGGATCCCGACCGGAGGTGGGAGAAGGTGCCAGGGACACTGCAGAATCTCCTTGGGCGAAGGAGGTCCAGTAGTCGAACCTCGTGAATGCCTTGAACTGGGAGGACCTGAAGCCAGTGGCCAGCGCTACTAGGAAGAGGGCCTTCTGTAGTAGGCGGTCCTTTGACGGTCGGAAGGTGAATGGAACCTGGGGTGAGATAAATACCAGATTAATTCATGTCCTGGTAAAACCTTCATAGTAACAAGAGCATGGGAAAAACAAACAGCATAAGACCAGTGGCCCTCAGGCTAGGTTGTCAGTAAAGTTCAGAGGACTGAAGGAATAATGCCAAGTCTGGGTGGAGGGAGTTAGGGCTGTCGGCCAGTTCCTTCAACCAGGCGCCGAGTTGCTCCAATCCTACTGTAGTGAAGAAAGCGAGGGCCACCTTCTGCCTCTACATGGCATCCTCGGTCAGGGTGGTTTGGGCTACCTGAGAAGGCCTGCCATGGGAGAGAGGACTGGGTTAATTTCGGAGCACACAGGAACTCCACCAACTTGTTTGGCTCCCAGTTATCCTAGGGGGATAAGACTGAAGGGGCCAGAGAGGGGAAGGTGATGGGGGAGCTGTTCCTTCCAGCTGCCGACGTCCAGATCGACTGGAGGGCCAGGCCCACCTTCTCCCATGGAAAGAGGGCCTGGCCGGCTGCTCTGGCACACCTCCTACCGTCCTGTAGCATTGCCACTCGGTAAGGACCTACAGTGGACAGCACTGAGCAGGAGGCCAGAGAGTCGAAGGCGCCCAAGGTTGCGACCGGGGACGTTCCTAACAGGGCTGGGAACATTTCCCTTCTCGGCGGCTCCGGAACTCAAAGTACTCCTAACCTAGTTGTCCGCCTTTCGCCGGACCTCTAAAGTCGGAACCGGGAAGAGAAAACTAGGTCCTCACCCCGCTTTACTCTCGATAAAATGGCCAGTCTCCCTTGGTGCCAGTGCACAAACCAGTCCCATGGAACCCGAGCCCACTTGTACGCCCCCTGGCTGATGATGTCATCAGGTGTCTTAAAAGAGAGGGGAGCATCCATAGGTGCGGGGAAGTTCCCTTCTCCTCACGAAGGCCTGGGCCTTGTAAGGACTGGAGATGTTGCTGAGACTGGCCCCTGGTCTGATCCGAGTTGGTCCTCCTTGGCTTGGAACCAGACTACGAATACACTGTAGGATCCGGGGAGGGGGAGCGAGTGGGATCCCCATACCACAGGAGGTTAGTTGGAGGTGGCCTGGGCCTGTTGCTGCTGCAGCTGCTGTGCCCGGAACCAGGAAGACAGAGCCTCCAACATCTCCAGCGGCAAGGCTGAGAGGATGGGTGCACTGCCCGGGGGGGCAGCGTCTCCGGCTGCAACGTCTCAGCAGCTGGGGCAGGTCTGGAGCGATTGAGGAGTTAGAGGGGCCGTCCCCCCGGCGGTGCCATGGAAGGCCTCCTGGCCCGGGGGGAGGTACTTTCTCCTGACGAATTCCTGGGCCTTGTAGGTGTTGAAGAGGTTGCTGAGACCGACTCCCGGTCCGAGTCGGAGTAGTCAGGCAGCCCCTGTGACGATCCGGTCCCCTTCGGCACGTAACCGGACTTCAAGAGCACTAATGGGTCCGGGGAGGGTGAGCGAGGGCGGGATCTCCATGCCACAGGATGTCGGGTGGAGGGGGTCAGGGCCTGCTGCAGCTGCTGTGCCCGAAACCAGGAAGACAGAGCCTCCAACATCTTCAGTGGCAAGCCTGATGGGTGTGGATGCACTACCTGGGGTTGCCAGCATCTCCAGCTACGACGTCTGGGCGGCTAGGGACAGGCCTAGACGGAGCGATGGAGGAGGTAGAGATGCCGTCCTCCCCGGGCGACACCGTGGAAGGCAGCCTGGCCCGGCGGGAGCTAGCCATAGGAGGTCGGTAGGGAGAAGAGTCCATCCTAGTCGAGCCACCTGGCGAGGGCTGATGAAGGTGGAGGTCCAGAGGGGGTGAGGACCACCTCTCTAAGGACACTCTGGGCTGCTGGGACAACCCAGCTGGGGCCCTGGTGGAGTCACTGGGTTCGAGGACCGCCGTTTCTTCCCAGCGAGCCCGCTTCCCCTTGGCCGCTGTCCTAGGAGACCTTGGGCGGTGGTGCCTGTTGTAGAAGGACTAGCGAGACTCCCAGAGAAGTGACGGTGGCGACTAGAGGAAGAGTGAGCACTCGACTCCCGGAAGGGCAAGGGGGAGAGCTGTGGCGAGCCTGAAGACTCAGGGCAGGGAGAGGTGGGCTCCCTGGTGGCCAACTGAGAAGCCGGGGGAGGGGGCTCGGCCTGGGGTCCTTGGTAGAGTGGTCTCTACCCGTGGGGCCTCGGTGGCGGCACATCCTCAACCGAGAACGGAGATCCAATCTTTCCAGGAGAGGGGGGAGCCCCGGTGTCTGGCGGAAGTGGAGGCTGCCACCCAGCGATGCCGAAGCTGTTGCCAGAAAATGTGGGAGGTGTCCACATCTCCGGCAGCGTCGATGAGAAGCCATGCCACCCACTCAGAGCACACTGTACAGCGGCTCGAAACGAACTTGTCATTGTCCACACACTGGGCGTGGGCTGAACAACCGGAGTGACCATGCTGTTGGAACCTGGCTGAACACCTCTGGGCCGAGCAGGGCACCTTCTGGAGCTGGGGATGAAGAAACAAACCAGAGAAATAAAACAATGGAGCAGGGAAGAAGGGACTACAGACATCTCTCTCTGCCACCTAACCCAGAACCAGAAAACGAAACCGAATAACGACTCGGTGCGTGGGCCTGCTCGAGAGAAAACACAGAGGGTGGAAAAAGAGTGTCATCCATGTGAGGAAAACCAAACAAGGAAGCGACGCCCTTGGCGTGAAGCACCATACAAGAAGCAAAAAAAGGGGGGGCTAAAACACGTAAACTGGGAAAAGCAAAAAGCCTGAAAATGGCCGAAACCAGGAGGGTACCGGCACAAGCCCAAACAACCAAACTAGCAAAACAACACACCCCCTCCTAAATAACTAAGAAAAGAAAACATCATGGCAAACTGCTGCAAAAAAAACGCACAGATGGTGTGAAGGACAACAGACACAGACCAAAATGCAAAGAAGCTGAAGCAGGAGAAGAGACTGGACATGTCTACTTACAGTAGTGAGGCCAGGAAGAAAGACCATCTGAATCTAGCTCAGGTACGCCGTACACCGCGCAGGCAGTAAGGAACTCTTCTGCGCAGGTACCCATTCTCTTAAGTTTACAAGCTAGTAGCAGCCTATACTGATGCAGATGTGCTAATATTGGCTTTGTCACCTCCATAAGAACATAAGA